TGTAGAACTTTAAGCTGGGGTCTGCCATTATTCCTCTTGGCCATTGTTATGAATCCCTGTGGTACAGGTGTCATGTATCTGAGCTCCTTCACGTCTAGTGCGACATAATCCTCTCCATCATAACCGTACTGATCAAACCCTTCTGAAGCTCCAGTCTGATCATCCCAACCACATCCATACATCCTCTGATACGTATGAACACCTGAAGAAGAAAAGGAGATACCATAAGATCTGCTCCTTTTTTAATGTATATAAGGTAATCTTTGAAATTTGAAACTGTAGTATAAAGTATTGTAACTCACCATGTGACTGATTGAATCGCTCTGTTAGAACATGAATATTGTTTTTGTAGATCTGCTGTACTTGTTGTCTGATCTCAGTGTCTTCTTTCCACGTGTCTGTAGATGCAAACTCCTTCATCCAGTCCTGTCTGGGAATCAGCTTCTTTATCTCACTGTCATAATAATCAATCTGTCGTCCATCCAGAGTAGTTACGGCAGAAAACTCTGGGATGCCTTCAATCGTATGTCCATTTATTCCAGTGTATGTAGTTATGAAGGTGTGTGATTCTAAACAAACAAAGACATAAAGCTCTCAAACACGGTTAAAAACCACATTAAAATTACTTCTTGCCATTCAGTTTTTTTTTCTTTTAATTTCAAATCAATACTTTGCAGTTACATTATAAATTAGGCATCACTGGAAAGCTTTAAACTCAAAATTCATCTTGTGAAAACGGTTACATTTTTGTGATATCAACTTCAAATTTGGAATATACCTTGGTTAGACACAGCTTTAATTTTACAGCAATTTTAGAGTCCACTATTTTACAATTACAATTATTATTCTGTAAAACATATTTTGTATAAAATATTTAGCTCTAAACATTTGCTTTACAGTAAACGTAAGCTTCTAGAACTTTTTGGCACTTTCATTTTTAAGTGCTTATAGAGTGTCTTCTTTAAAAAGGCCGACCTTACAGTAGGTCTGTATTCCAAAGCATTCATGAATTACAACCGTGTAAGTCTAGATCTATGTTTAAAAAAATTGGGAATGACTATGTTCATGACTTTAGTCATTCATATAGAACTAGATAAAAAACAAACTAAAACTAGACTTAAAAAAATGTTGATTTCTTTTTCAGAAAACTTTACATCAGAATAAAAAAAACATAAGATTTTTTGTCAGTTCAACCAGTGATATTATCAATAACTAAAACTATAAAATTTTCTGTGAATTATATATAACAGCTAATAAAATGACCAAATCACACAATGAAATTACTAAAAATAAACAAAAAATGTACATGAAAACTAAACATGTAAAAAAAGCTTATTCGATATATTAATAAAACTAAAGCAACACAGCGTTCAACACGGAAGTAGCTAAAGACTTTGCTGACAGATACATCTTTCTTTCCGTTTTAATGCCATGTCAGCTTCTATGGCTAGAGAATGTAAGCTTTAATTGATGATATGAAATGAATCTCACCTGAGTAAACAAAAGGTATGTAGACGAAAAAAACTATGAACTTCATTACGGACAAAAATCCATGCAATTGACTCTCAAACAAGTGTAGAATCGTCAAAGAGCGCTGCAAAAACTCCAGACTTCAGCACAATTGAAAGAAGAAGTGGTTACTCAAGGAAGTTACAGAACATATGGTCTCAACACAGATGTTTAGGGAGGAAGATTTTACTTACAGGTTGACGTTGCTTCACTCACTAACCTTTTTTTCTGCAGACAGCTAGACATTTAATTATTTATGATAGGACTTTATTTTGATAGCCCACTTTATACATACTAGCTATAAGTAACTGTATAAGCAACTACCAGTCATTGGGGTATTAGTAGACTCGTATGTGGTTTCTCTCCCCCTGCTTCTCCATTCAGTAACACAGAAAACACTTTAACTTCAGATGAGAATCACATCACGACTGAAACTAAAGCTGCAGCTGTTTGAGCTTCAGTGTTTTATATAAAGGACATTTAGAAAAAAACAAACACTGAATCTGACACGAACACAAACGGTCACATTTTACCAGTTTGAATTTTATTTTATAATTTTAAAACTATAAAAATGTTCGGTAACGCTTTAGATTACAACCCGCAAAGAACTACATAAGTATACTGAATTTACAGTGTACGTTTCTGTAATTATAGTGTACCTATAAAGAACGTACGTGTAGGTATAAGGGAACAATGTGTTACGTTTGGGTAATAAGGGGGTAACAACCAGATATGCAACCTGCAAAGAACTGCGTAAGTAAACTGAAGTTACAGCATAACTTTTTTGTAATTATAGTATACCTATTTAGTACCTCTGTGTAGGTATAAGGGCATAATATGCGACGTTTGGGGAATAAAGGGGTAACAACCTGTAAAATTACAAATCATTTATACTGTAAGTATTTTGAAACTAAAAGGTACTTATTCTAATATTACGTGGTATGTATGGCCTAAACAACAAT